CAATCCCCAGAGCCCCCTTCTCACCTCCCGACTCCTCCCCAGGGCTTCTCCCATTTTCATCTCTACTCCCATCCCTCCTCCCGAACCCCAATATCTCAAACCCCCACCCCAATCCCCCGGGACATCACCTCCTCCCCTCCCACAACCTCTTTGAGGTGGAAGCTCGCGCAGGCGCAGTACGCACCGCCCTAGAAGCGGCCTGGACACTCCGCACCCTGGCCCGGTTGGAGCTGAGGCCGCAGCGGCCGCCGGACTGCCCCGGCGCCGGGTCGCAGCTTTTCCTGGGAGGGGAAGGGGAAAGGGAAGGAGGGGGAAGAAGGTTCCGACCACTCGTCGCGTCTCAGACTGATCCTCTGCCCCGCCCACCGCTGCTACGCAACCCGACGGAACTCGTCACCAAGCCCCGCCCCTTTGTTTAACTCAGACCCGACTAGACGCCCCGAGCGGCCAACGAGGAGGGACCAAGGCTAGCCAGGCCTCCGCTCTAGACCGGAAGTCTTTCTGGTCCCAGCCAGGACTACATAGGCCCTTGGGCGGGATAACTCTATGTTCTCCCCTGCGTGAACGCCTGGGTCTGAGCTCCAGTCGACTACCCTGGAAGGCGACGCCTGGCTCTGGAGGGGCGCTCGTGCCTTGCGTCCTAGAGCTGATGCAGAGCAGTGCGAGATCGCTGCGGGGAGGCCGGCCTGCAGTGTGACCTGCCGTCCGCCGACCCCTCTCCCGTTTCCAGAGCCGTGGTCAGCATCTCCGAGCCTCCTGACCCTATGACTCGAGTCACAGGAATGGATACTGCAGCTAGCTAGGCGGCCGCGGGGCGGGGAGCGAGGGAGTGTGCCCGCAAAGCTTAGATCTGGGGTGCTCCACGGGTTGCCTGCCTCCCTCCCAGCCGCGCTCCTACCGCATCCACGATGGCTCCCCGAACACTCGTGGAGATACCTGAGACGCCTAAGAGGAAAGAAGGAGAGAAATGCCCCTCTTCCTGGGTTATGGTTTGATTTCCTTAGCTTACAACACCGTGGTCGTGGGTGTGGGCGGTAGAGAACCCGGGACCCGAGGGAAGTCAATGGGGAGCCTAAACTCTATGAGAAGGTAAGAGATGAATTAAGCAAACCAAGGCATTGCGACGACATGACCTCTTAGGCTAATCTGGTATTAATTAGTATGCGTCGTGGATATTCGCTAAGTGGTAATGCACGTTAGTCTATATGTAATTGGTTTATACACAACAGGACAGAAGGAGCATATGTGACAATCTGACAGGTCCCCAGAGAGAACCAAAGTGTGGGGCCTCACCTTTTGATCTTCTGCGGGTATTCTGCAATCTAGTAAGAAAGAGCAGTAAGAGAAGAGCAGTAGGAGCAAGTGCCTTATACTAGCTACGAACAGGGTAATGTAAATGTTGCTCTCTCTGCCCAGTGTTCCGTTTCTTACAGGAAGGGTGAGTCTGCCCGTTGCCTCTGGTGCTAATGCCCCTTTTTCCAGAGGCCCTGACCGAGATGAGAGCCTCGGTCGGGCGCGGTGGCTCACGCCTATAATCCCAGCACTTTGGGAGGCCGAGGTGAGAGGATTGCCTGAGCCCGCGAGTTCGAGACCCGCCTGGGCAAATTGGCGAGACCTCATCTCTACAGAAAATCAGAAAAATTAGCCGGGCGTGGTGGCGCACATCTGTAGTTCCAGCTACTTGGAAGGCTGAGGCAGAAGGATCGCCTTAGCCCAGGAGGTTGAGGCTACAATGGCCGTGAGCGTGCCACCGCACTCCAGTCTGGGCGACAGAGTGAAACTCCAACTCAAAAAAAATAAAGAAAGAAAACAGATGAGAGCCCCAAATCAGGAATAAAGATGAGGGTTAGGGCAGTGGTAGAAGAAAACCGGCAGTTGCAAGTGCCTAATGTGTGCGAGGCACTGTCTGTTTTATAACTTCCGTTATCTCTTCTGTAAAATTGAATGACGTGTAAAAATTGTAGAGAAAAGAAATGAAGCAGTGAGCTGAGATTCAAACTTTTGTCCGCCGGATTCCAAAGTCCTTGGTTCTTTTCCCACCGTATGGTTCCTTGGAACAACACCTTCGAGCCCTAAGTTCCTTCTCCCGGCCAAGTCAAAGGACAAGTGGGGCCTCGGGCGTCCCCTGGTGGCGGATCTTTCCCTCTGCGGGGCCAACTTCTGTATATCCAAGGTTCCTTTAATACCTGAAATTCGCCCCCTTCGCGGCGCAGGAGTCTCGGATCCCGATTGGCTGGGCGGGGGCAGGCGGCGGGACGCAGGGCGCGCCCGGGCGGTGCTGATTGGCCGGAGGAGGCCAGCGGGGGAAACTTCCGGGAATGTCCGCGCTCCCGAGTTCCATCGGGCAGCATCCGGCGGCAGCGGAGCCTGTGGCTCCCCCTGCGGGCTGCTCTGCAGCGTGCATTGTCCGGCCGGCCGGCTGGGTGGGTGGTAGGCTGCGGATGGGGGAGGGGATGCACCGAGTCCCGGGTTGTCTGGATGAGGGTTCGGGAAGCTTTGGCATGTGAGATCCAGTTTCCTGGCTCTGCACCGGGTCCTTGCTCTTGTCTGCGCTGGCTCTCTCACTTCGGGGCTTAAGACTGAAAAAGCATCCCGGCAGGGGGGCCTTCCAACCCCCAAGCAGCCTATCCAGAGACCCCCCCCAATTTCGATCTTGAAGTTGGAGGCCCCCGGAGAAGTTCGAGTCTAATCTTTTAGAAAGGTTAGAGGGGTTGAGGCTGCCTGATTCCCGCCTGGTGTGGTAGGTAGGCCTTGGGAAATGGAGTATGGGGGCAGAGACTCCAGTCGCTGAGTCTTCATCCTCTGTTCCCCCTTCCAGTGAGTGCCAAGGCTCGGGCAGCATGACGACCGAGACGTTCGTGAAGGATATCAAGCCCGGGCTCAAGAATCTGAACCTTATCTTCATTGTGCTGGAGACAGGTGGCTATGCTGGGGGGGGGCGGGCTCACGGGGTGGGGGTAGAGGCCAGGAGAGGGTGAACACCTCCCGCGTTCTCAATTTGCTGGGGCGGGGGCAGGGCTCGCCCCAAAACACCGCTCACTCCCGATCTCTCTCCTAGACCCCTGTCTAGCCAGTTGCAGTCAGATACCAAGGAGATAGAACTCTTGCCTGATCTGTGCCTGCAGCGCCATGCGGGCCCCTTGCCACGCAGGGCCCTCTCCATGGTGCTGGCCCCTCCACCTCCAACCCGCACACACCCTCATGCCCCAGGAATTTGGGTTTTGCCCTGCATGTTCACCCTTTCCCTCACCCCATCAATAACCAGGTCCCATCCCTCTGACTGACTGCCACCACCCCCACTTATTTGAGCATCTTCCCACCTCCATTTACCTGTTCCCTCAGGCCGAGTGACCAAGACAAAGGACGGGCATGAAGTAAGAACCTGCAAAGTGGCAGACAAGACGGGCAGCATCAATATCTCTGTCTGGGACGACGTGGGCAACCTGATCCAGCCTGGGGACATTATCCGGCTCACCAAAGGGTAAGTCAGCTGGTCGCTTCTGGCTTTCCAAGAGCAGCGACAATGAAGAGTGGGGGTAATAGCCTTGTAACTCTTCTGAATACTCTGAATCTTGGTTTTTTTGCCCCCACAGGTACGCTTCAGTGTTCAAAGGTTGTCTGACCCTGTACACTGGCCGTGGGGGTGATCTGCAGAAGATTGGAGAGTAAGTGCTGTCATGAGGATTGGGATGAAGAAGTGCCAGCCCAAGGGGGAAAAGTTAAGGTTTGCAAGAGGCAGCATAAGGGTGTGCAGTCCATGTCCTGTATTGGGACTTATCTGAGGCCTCCAGCAGTGGCCCAGAGGATGGGGCCAAGGCTTTAGCCACTTTCTCCCCTTGCAGATTCTGTATGGTTTATTCTGAGGTTCCTAACTTCAGTGAGCCAAACCCAGAGTATAGCACCCAGCAGGCACCCAACAAGGCGGTGAGTCCCATGGTCACGATGGTGGGGAAGGAGGGCAGATGAGGCCAAGAAGTATGGTAGGGAGCAGGGTCTAAATATATAATCTGCCTTCAGGTGCAGAACGACAGCAGCCCTACAGCTCCCCAGACTACCATCGGACCCCCTGCTGCTTCTCCAGGTAAATCTGTTCCCTTCCACCCACTGGTCTTCCTCCTCCACTGGTCTTCCTAACTCCAGCCTAGAAAGATGCATTTCCTTTTGTAAAATCTCTCTTTTCTTAGTATATCCCCCTTCACCCAGTCTTCTCCCAGCCTCCTTATTTTTGGCACCTTTTCTAAGTACCTGTGCTGAAAAGATTTGGGAGCCTGTTTTGATCACTAATAAAGTTTGGATGCCTTTTGTCACTGCCACTCAAAGGCAAAAAAAAGAGGGTAATTTCTCTACACGTGGCAAATGAATATTAGGGACAAACAGGCTTAAATAATATAAGCCGGGCTCTGTGGCTCAGCCTGTAATCCCGCGCCTTTGGGAGGCTGAGGTGAGTGGATTGCCTGAGCCCACGGGTTCGAGACCCACCTGGGCAACTTGGTGAGACCTCATCTCTACAATAAATCAAAAAAAAATGAACCGGGTGTGGTAGCGCGCACCTGTAGTTCCAGCTACTCAGAAGGCTGAGGCGGAAGGATTGCCAGAGCCCAGCAGGTCGAGGCTGCGGTGGCCAGGAGTGGCCACTGCACTCCAGTCTGGGTGACAGAGTGAGACTCCAACTAAAAAAAAAAATAAAAATAAAAAAGTAAAAAATAAATGAGCCAGGCATGGTGGTACACGCCTCTAGTTCCAGCTACTTGGAAGGCTGAGACAGAAGGGCCACCTGAGCCCAGCAGGTCGAGGTTGCAGTGACCATGATTGTGCCACTGTACTCCAGCCTGGATGACAGTGTGAGACTCAGACTAAAAAATAATAATAATAAGCCGGGCTCGGTGGCTCAGCCTGTAATCCCGTTCCTTTGGGAGGCTGAGGTGAGTGGATTGCCTGAGCCCGCGGGTTCGAGACCTGCCTGGGCAACAAGACCTCATCTCTACAATAAATCAAAAAATTAGCAGGGCGTGGCAGCGCATGCCTGAGGCGAAAGGATCACCGGAGCCCAGTAGGTCGAGGCTGCGATGGCCGGGAGCGGCCACTGCACTCCAGTCTGGGTGACAGAGTGAGACTCCAACTCAAAAAT